GCAATGAATTGCGGGTAATACACTTCACCGAAGTCCGTAAAAACGCAGACTTCGCGGAAGGGCGGAAATTGTACCCTAAATGGGCGGGGCAAAGGGCAGTTGTGGAGAATGTGGGACACACTACGCACTCAAACCCTTCAACATGAACGTGCATTTGAAGTGTACAAGAGGGTGGGAGTGCTGGTATTGGGACAAGTCTCTACTACATAACTGAACTTCTCAACCAATCTTTAACGGAGAGTCCAGCTAACCTGTAGCGAAAACTTATTTTGACTGCTTGTATTTGCAATCTCAAACTTTTAGTCATTCATATTTTATTGATATAGATAAAAGTAGGGGTGGTTAGGGTTAGAGCTCCTTCTTTAACACAACTGATTTGCACAGAATCTGCAACAAAACCCAGTGATGGCACCTAATGCGAAAGAACCATTTATAGGAACATGAGAGTTTTTGAGGATGCAACACCATTCTGTGTAAAAATGTGTTATTTTTAGCCATGCTGCCCCAGCCTACATCACATGCAAATAACTGCAAGAGAGTTCCTAGAGGTTTTCCTGAACATCGGTTGACTAATGTCCTGTCAGGCACAGTCTACAAACATGCCTTTAAATCGTTATCCTGCTCAGATACAGTGGCTGATACATAACAAAAAAAAAAGAATATTTCACTTACATCAAAATATGCATCGTATTCTGCTACGATGTACTCTGACTTGGGTTTATTCTGACAGTAGATCACGTACATGTATAGTCTTCTCTCCTGAAAAACAAACAAGGTTTTCAGGCAGCAGATCACAGGGTTGGGGGCTCATCAGGTAAATATTCTGGGACGTCCCTTTCACTCACATGTTTGATGAAGAGCTCAGGAAGGAGTTCATGGTCCTCAAGGCATTTCTCCATCTCGCCTACAAAGAAGCTGAGAAGCACAAGAGTCGTCYATCAGCAGCAAGTACAAACCAACATGTTTGAGTCCTTGTTCACGAGGGAATCTTTTCTTTTTTACCAATCAGTCTTTTTTGATCTTCCTAAAAAAGATCGGCAAACAGCAGTGGTGGGCACAGTCCCCCTAAAGCACCAACAGGGGAACTAATTTCCTGATTAGTGCTTTAGGGCTTTTGCTACTTTTTAAATGCATTAGTGGATTAGCACTTGCTAAATTTATAGGCTAAATTTAGAAGCACTAACTGAGGTCTTTAAATGTTATTGATCAACATTAATGTTAACAGCTGAGGGTGAAAGTTGTCACATTKTGTTMATGAGTGTCATTTATCCACTGGGTGACATATTGACAATRTTCTGCACACAGTAAATATTGTCTCRYGTTAACTTTTAARAATGTTCCAGGGGTCAGTTAGTGCTTTATAATTAGCTTTTGCTAAATKTTTCAGAGTATTAGTGCTTTAGGGTTAGTGCAACAAATTTTTAAATTAGTGCTGCCCACCACTGGTRAACASTACAGTTTTTACAAATGTTTTCATCCACATGGAAAAACAAAAAMACAAAACAAACAAAATGCTGTAGTACCCATATCAGCCCTGTAAGTGGTGCTATAACTCTGACATGAAATTACACCAGAAACAGAAAGCAAGGAGTTGAGAATGTTTTAAAAGTTTAAACTAACCTTTAGTTTAAAGATCGTAATCTTTGAAAAGAAACCACATTTTTTATGATCTGACAGTAAAGTGGAACTTCTACTTTGAGTCACGTTAAACTGCAAGACCACAAAAATACAGGCGTTGACTGGGACATGTGTCCAACCAAATCTGTGGACAAGGAAGCGTTTCAGACCAAGTCTTCAGGAAGGGAGAGATGGAGGGAAGTGTTTTCCTCATTATGTTCTTTATACACAAGTTGGTCTTTTAAAAATATTTCCATTTCTTACATTTGTTTTAAGTAAAGTGTAGTTTATCTGCCACATTTGTTTTTCTGACAGCTCAATAAAGTTACGCATTTTTTAATTTGATGAAAAGGGGTGTCTGCTCAGCTTCATTTAAGACACTGATAGTGTTCGCCAGTCATATTTATTCGTTTAAAGTAATACTGTTCTCAGAGTAGTAATTTAGTTGAAAAACTAGAAGGACATTTATCGTCATGTGGTATTTCTTTTTWYTTTTAAGGGTAGYGCCTTCTAGTCTGTTGTGTTTTGTCTATWTCTCTTGAACGGKTCGTTCCRAACTGTAATTTCCCTTCATGGGATCAATAAAGTATCATTCATTCATAAATACGAGCATGTAATCTGTCAAAGTTGGAACTGTCCATGTGTCAAGCTTGGTGTTGTAGGATAAGTTAGAGGTCACAGTTAGAGGCTACAATTTGCACAAGCTCATCGAAATTGGACAAGAGAAGATTGGAAAAACGTTGCCTGGTCTGATG